TTTAACTGGGTGGGATTCTGATGTAACTTCCAGAGTCGGAATCCCCACAGCACTATGCCAACATCCCTGCTTTATTAAATTGGAACTTTAAGCATTGTTTTGGCTTCGACTCTGATTTAATTTTACATGGTATTTGGAAAGCTAACATCGGCAAGGCAGACATCATGATCAAAATTTATTTTAAAGTGTATATATCAAATGCAATCAAACTTTTAGTTCCATCTGTAAGCATACATAGAAGCCAATATTGCTGAGCTGACAAAGAGTTTCCATCAAAATATATGAGAAACTTCAACCATGTTAATTTGATTGTTGGGAAAAACAATATTTTCTCATAAATTCTTTTATATAATAACCTTTATAATATTATTTCTGTAAAAGAGTCATTTTAGCGAGCTGCCTTCATTATGCAAAATCTTCTGTGCTCATAGAGGGGCCCCCAATTCTTTTTCTGCAAAACACTAAAATGGCCTGAAAAGTAAGCAAGCTGTCATTTCTAGACAGGAATATAAACACTGTGATAGATATTATGTTTGTTTCAGGTAAAGTTACATAGCTCTTGTCAGGTCACTAGCAATATATAAAAGGGTATCTGATAAAATTGTTCTTGAACGAACATCACATATGTGAGAATGTTGACTTCAAAACACCCTGGCAATCTGAACATGTGATTAATTATCTGCATAGCACCATAAACCTGGCCGTGACTAATGATGCAAGCAAGAAGTAAAGAGAGTCCATAGATTATAAATGGAGAAGTCATTTTCCATGTTCTTAACACTTCATCTGATGTAGGAGGTAGCTTTGACCTTTGGGCCAAGGAAGCACATGGCCACAGTGTTTTCCCTGGTTACTTTTACAGCATTTCAAAGCAATTCTCCACTTTAATGAAGGAGAGGGGAAGGGAGTGGGAGAAAGGGAGAATTATACATTATGACATATTAGCTTAATAAGTAGCACAACATAAAGTTGATATTTAGGCACTTGAAAATACCATATACTTTTTGTCTGTATCCCAGACAGTGTATTCTTTGTGGGCTTCAGTATTTCAGTCCCCAGCAGTGATGTAACTTGATTTCCAAAGCACAACACAGTCAGCAAGTTTATCTGTAGATAATAAGAACTGGATATAAATATTGAATGCTTCTCTAAATCACTTCCTCACTTCCTAGAACTAGGATAATTTTTTAAAAATACCAAGTTTATTACACCTACAGCGAGGTATAATAAAAAATGAACTTGACACATAGGAAGTGAGACCTTTCCCACTTCATTAGTGGTATTATTTTGTAGCACCATGATTTTACAGCTGCTGAACTTGAATTATATAAACCCACAGGAAAGCACAGGATTTGAACCACGGGAAATTTATTATTAAAAACCCAAATTGTGAAATAAATGATCAGTAGCTTTAGAGGGATAATTGTATTGTCTTGCCGAGGTTTATAAAACTGCGGAACAACAGATTTATTTTGAAAATTGTGCAGTATGTTTTGAGCTTTTCTGCACAATTTATAAACTGTATTTTCTTTTCCAATTGTTTTTATAGAAATGTGAGTTTCCTTCCCCTTTTCTTTATGTCTCAAACTGCTCAGACAGGCATAATTGCTGGACCAGGAACATAGCTATAAATGATCCCAATGACAATAGTTCTTAGACTTGTATATGGCTTCACAGTGCTTTACAGCCCTCTCTAAGTGGTTTATAGAGTCAGCATATTGCCCCCAACAATATGGGTCCTCACTTTATTGGGAGAGATAGAAGGCTGAGTCAACCTTGAGCCAGTCAAAATTGAACTCCTGCAGCTGGCAGAATTAACCATAATACTGCATTCTATCCACAGCACCACCATGTTATGTTAAAGTTATAAATAAATTTTAGCTGTAATGTCTTAAGCTCAAAGTCAAGGAAAACATAATATCTAGAATTCATGATACTTAATAATGTGTTTTGGGGGGTTCTCTTCGAAGTGTTCCCCCCTCAACACATTACATTACATATGTCTGAAAATCAGTGTTTTTAAACATATTATTTGCATTATATTCAGATTATCTCTGTTACATTTGAAGCACTCCAAACCTACTAAGCTAATTATTTCACAGACTTTGAGTAAGCATATTCCCTAAATCTTAGACAAGGGATGTCAAACTGGGTCAGATGCATCACATACAGGTCATGCCCACCCCAGCTCTGGGAAGGGGAAAAATGTCAAGATACATCATGTGACAGCCAAGTGACACCATGAGTTTGACACGTGTTTTAGACCTGAATCTAGATTTCTTTTTGTTAGAATTCATAAAAAACTTACTCTCATACAGGTAGGTGGGGACAAATAGGCAAATAACAATATAGCAAGTTTCCAACCATGGATTGAAGATTGCATTACATGAATTGGTCAAAACTAATTAAATTAATACTGTAGTTAAATAGGTAGGAATTTATGTCAGCTATCCTTTAATGTCCATATGGAATTGCAGTATAAATGAAGAAGCACTTATTTGCTCTGTGTTTTACAGATAGTCAGGGCCTGGATCTGGAAATCTCCAAGGCAAACTCCTTTGGATTCACTGGATGCATGTCATCTGTGCAGTATAACCATATTGCTCCATTGAAAGCTGCCTTAAGACATCCCAACCTAGCACCAGTGACAGTCCTGGGTTCGTTGTCTGAATCAAACTGCAGGTCATTGGTTGAAGTAGATGCAAATACAGCAACCTCAATCTACTCTTCCTCAGGTATGTTCAGAACATATTACAGGTAACTAGTTTAGTAATGTTTCCTATTTGTTGTAAGTAATAGATGTTGGAAATATGGTAGATATAAAAATGGAACATGTTTTTATAGATTTATAAGTTGTATTCAAGAGTTTCTAGGCAATATGCAAATAAGATGTACTATGGTATCTTAATTGTGTTGACTGCATCATAGCAATAGCAATAGCAGTAGACTTATATACCACTTCATAGGGCTTTCAGCCCTCTCTAAGCGGTTTACAGAGTCAGCATATTGCCCCCAACAACAATCCGGGTCCTCATTTTACCCACCTCGGAAGGATGGAAGGCTGAGTCAACCCTGAGCCGGTGAGATTTGAACCGCTGAACTGCTGATCTAGCAGTCAGCTGAAGTAGCCTGCAGTGCTGCATTTAACCACCATGCCACCTCGGCTCTTCATCCCTCTTCATCCCTATTCATCTCCCTGTTTCTGCAAATAGAGGAGGGATGACCTGGTATCCTATTTCCTATATTTGTGATGTGATATAAAAAAATAAAGGGAAAAGCAATTAGCCATGCTGATTACCCACAGCTTTGTTTCCAATGCATCTGGAAAGTTCTATGCCTCTTGATATTTAAATATTGGAAATGTAGATCATCGGTATTAAGTGAACGGGTCCTTTTAGCTCTTGTCTATTGTTCATCTCTGTTTTTTCTTTGCCATATCAAGCCATATTTTTGCTAGCTGAGCTGAGTGCTGGGCATAATTGCTGTGATCTGGATAGATGGATTGAGTGGGAGTGAGCTGCATACAATGTAAACTGGATATTACTCATAGTATTTTTTTTATAATATATACAATAACCACACAAAATAACAACCTTAATAATATGCTATTCCAATATATTGCCTACAATATTACCATTGACCTTGATCTTGTTTGTAATTATTTGATCTCCTTTGTAGTTCTTTTCTTTGCTAATATAAGAAGGCCATGAAATCTGTACTTTTGACTTAGTAAAGCTACACGAATAGAGTTTAAACAATGTAGGTTGACATTGCACAAAGGATATTTGTTTGGAACACTGTAGTTTCATCAGGGTTTAGTTATGGAAAACAAAGAAGATACTTTTGATGAGCAAGTGGAAAAATTATTAAACATATTTAATTGAATTCCCAGATTGTTTAAAATCAGGTTTGTTTATTTGTTTGTTTTTCAAAAATCAGCTTGCCAAAGAATGAATGGTGTTCCATGGAAATGCAGAAAAGGGGGAGTTGATAAGTAAAAGTTTAGTTTGCCTACAACAGTGGTCCCCAACCTTTCTGGCTTTGTAGACTGGTGAGGGGGGAAGGGAGGGGTGAAATCTACTTAACTTTGCTACCACTTCACAAATGTGAGCACACGAGCATGCGCAGAGCATCAAAAATGGTCATGATGATGTCCGGGTGGGTGGGTGGGGCCTGCTATCAAGTACACCTGCAAATGTAAGTAGAACAGCAAGGGGGGGGGATCCACTTTGCCACATGACTTAGATTAGCTAGAAATCAGGAAATCCTGCTTTCTAACTAATATAAATCACATATAACAGTTGATCGTCGGAAATATCAGTTCACCTGAACTGATAGCATTGTTTTACTACCGGTTTGGGTGAACTGGTCTGAAATGGTAGCCTTTCACCCTTGGGGGAAGGAGATGCTTCCCCATGAGCATGGGCAAATGCACACATATGTAGTTCCATTTGCACAAGCTTGCACAAGTGGAGTTGCACATGTCTGTGTGCCTGCTGATTCCAGGGTCCAGTTCTGAATTGGTCGCAATCTGGAACTGAGCCAAGGCCGGGGAGCGGGGGGTTGGGGACCCCTGGCCTATAAGAAACTGATCCCTATAAACCTGTCTCAGGTCTGTATCTCATCATCTGAGAGGTTCTGATTAGTTATTTAGAAAGAGAGATTTTTTAAATATTTTGTTCTAACATAATCACTTGGTATAATGAATTTGTTGCTTAAAGTTTATCACCTCAGATAATCAGAAAATGTGTAGGCTGGCAGAAGCTGTTGTTTTATGTTTGTCTCTTATCTTCTCCAGGGTTAAGGAGAGACACATTATACCCTGATGATGATCCAAGCAGTTCATTTCCCGCTTGTGATAATTAAATGCTCCCTTGGGCATCTTAAGTGTTTTGTATGTTGGAAAGGAGAACATATTGTAAAGCTAGGGTTAGTATTACCATAAGTTGGAAGTGCACATACATATACATACAGTACACAAACACATATCCATGTGGCTTTCAGATCATTTCCCCCCAAAGGATATTGATTTTCCAGGCATGGAGTGGTGTCGCTATGGCAGTCTATCATATTTTTGCCTTTTTATGGGTATGTTTGGCTGTTTTTGTCCACACTGTCCCACCTTCTTTTATGTTTTGAATACATTTTATTTTATTTTAAGCTGTTCTGAGTCTTCTGGATTGAAAGTGAGTGGCCATAATACATTAAAATGAAATATAATTTAGTATAAATTATACTAAAAATCATTTTGTATAAAAGAATAATATGTTCAGGTCCCACCCCAAAAATGCATTCTATATTATAAAACCTACTTCAGCTTAAAGAAGAGTGAATTACATATCCCAACAAACTCTTGCTGCTTCCAATTAACTGGAAGGGTATATCCTGAAATGATTTTGTTTTTCTTTCTTACTTAATTACAATTCAGCATTATTGCCTTGTTTCCTTTGTTGTAAAAACTGTTTGAATTTCTTCCAAATCACCATTTCATTCCATTCACTATGTCTGAGATATTGTGAAGAAAGCACTAGAATCTGTTAACAAAAAATAGAAACAAATTATTATAAGCTCCTCATGTTGAATGAGTTCCAGTTTATGTGTGATTTCTCTTTCTTTTGTAGTCACTAGATTGCCTTGTCATAGCTGTTACTGACAGTAAAATCAATTCTTACTAATGCAGATTGGCAGCACCTTAAGTAGTTTTTCTAGGGATGTGTAAAAAGATGTGTGTGCTCTTTCTCCATGCAAATCTATTCTTATTTATTAATGCTCCAGAATAGATGCCAGCAACTATTATCAACTGAGGGCCCATGAAATTTTTAATAACCTGCCAGGATATAAGATGTATAAACAAACAAACCTAAAAATAGTCTATCTTGACTTTGTTTTGTTCTGTCTCTCTGTCTCTGTCTCTCTCTCTCTGTCTCTCTCTCTCTCCTCTCTTTCTGTGTCTGTGTGTGTGTGTGAGAGAGAGAGAGGGCGGGAGGGTGGGTGGGAAGGAGGGAGAGAGAGAGAGAATATTATACCAAATGAACTATTTTACAGCAATTAATTCTCAATATTTTGTGTGAATTCCTTAGCTAACATTTTTAGCTAACATTCATCCGTATTAATTGGGCGAATTCTATTTGTTGCCAAATGTGTATTTAACTGAGGTATTTCCTTCTGAATCAACTTTATTAAAAGTCTGGTAAATAAGGTCTACAGTCATTGGATTTGAAAAGCATCATTTTCTCTTAAGGTTCAGAATCTTACTTTTCATTCTGGGCAACTTGCAACGAAACTGATAGACTCTACCTAGAAAACACTGAGGCAGATGCTAATCCACAAAAAAGTTACAGTCACGGCTGAGAAGCTTTCCAGATCAATAAAGGCACCAGGTGGAAAAATGCCAAAGATTGTGGAGAATCAGCAAAAATTAGATGCTTCAACTTGCCCTTTCTGACTGTCCCAAGCCACCTTTGGATGTTCTGATTACCTTTGAAATGCATTACCATCATTATTTCTGTGTAATTCACTTGACTGATATGAGACAAGTTCCAGAGTGAAGCACCAAAGGTACATTTATAGAAAAGTTAAGGTTTTTATTCATTTCTGTGCAAAATGCAACCAGGTTTTTTTTGTGTTTTTTTTTGAGGGGGGAGCGGGGAATCTCTGCAGTGGAAAATATGCACTGGTCAACATTTTTCCATCTCCTGATTCTGCAGACTGCAAAAGAGACTGAAAGTGGAATTTACTGTCAATGGGTTTTCATCTATCAATCTGAAATGAATTCTATTTACTACTTATGCCTCTGGGTAAAAAGACGCTCAATTTCTTTATGCATACATCTCATTGCATAGACGTAGTTTGCCTTCCATTTTTAATGTTATTCCCTCGCTTTAAAAAGAGCCATTTTCTAATACAATATATAAAATTTAAATTTACCTCTACATTAAAAATAAACATTAAAAATAACCAGAAGGTGATAGTTCTTAATTCTAATATTGTTTTATTAATTTAAGAATATATAATCAGAAGCCTCTGGCTTTTAAGTGGCTCCCAGGAGCCTTACAAGAATTGCCATCAGCTGTAGTTTCCTAAGTGATGGGAAAGAAATAAAGGGAGAACAAACAACTAAAATTTTATTTATTTTAAATTTAACCATAAACATATAAACTCTATTGCTTTATTTAGTTTTAAATAAAATTAAATTTCAGGTTTTATGCAAGCCAGCTGCAGCAGTATGCAACAGTATGTTGGCTTGTTCAAATCAAAGATCCTAATTTGCATACTATTACAGTAGGTGAGCACGGTTTAGTTAAAACAAGCTTTGTTTGTTCTTGTGACATACGGGTTGACATGGGTTCAAACCATCCTTACTGATAGCGAGGAATAATAAATAGGTAATAGGTGGGAAAGAAGGCGGGGCTTAGCAGTGAGAAGACGGATTTTCAGGCTATTCCTGAAATTCCCCTATTCCGAAGCAATTGGACGGTTCATTTTTGAACCCAAGCTGTCCCGGAGAGACAGTGAAAGGTTGGAGGAGATCCAGTGACCCCAGAGACGTTCGCAAAGTCTCTGGGGGCTTGGAATTTAACCTCCTTTGCCAGTGACTTCTGGATTAGTCGTAAGCTAACCAAAACTGCAGGTTGCCCCTAAGAATGGCGT